ACAGAATATCCTTAAGATTTCCAAATTTAAAATAAAAAATTAATTCATTTCACTCCACAAGTACTTCTGATTTTCATCAATGACTGTGATATTCTGCTGTTTAGGCTAATTTTTAACTACAGTAAATATATAAGCTGTAAATTTATAGGATAAATAATGACTGTCACTATCAACTAATATTTTAAATTAAATTCTTTAAATTTTTTCTCTTTAATTATTTTCTTTAAAAAGAAATCAGAGACCAGAGATAAAGTACAAACGATAAAGTGTTTGCCTCGATTAAAATTTTAAACTATACCTTTGAATGTTATTTGAAAAATAATAGCTTTTTCACAAAATAAGGAAGCAACATTATTTTAGACACATAAATAATCTTCACACTTCAGTTAAAGTTTTACTCAAAGAAAAGTTCATATTCCTTTTTATTTTGCATCCCTGCATAGTTTTCACACAACCTAAATGGCATTTAATAGAGATTTTAAAATAATCACCTGCAGCATATTATATCCCTTATATTTTATTCAATGAAGGTTAGTATGAGTATTTATTGCTTACTTTCACAAACTGATAAAGGATAACAATTTCTGTCACATTAAGTTTTCACACAGACAAATGGCTTTTATTGTTTACCATGTCTATTTTTTAGAGTAAAATTTTCAGGTCTCATAACCTCTTTTTTTGTAACTCGTGTTTTCAAGATCTTTTTATCATCTGTATTGTTCTCTACTGTATGCTTGGCAATTCATCTTTTCTGTAACTTGGCATTCTGCTCAACTTTTCCCCTAAATGAAAGCCTAACAAGACCTGAATATAACTCAATTCATTTTGATGCATGACATCACAATTGAAATTGAACAAATGTAATATTTGAATATTTTCACAGGGATCAAAATTTTCACACAATTCAATTTACTGTCCACTTTAATCCCCAAAGTTTACTCTCAGCTACTGTTATCTCTACTTTTTATTGCAATCACTGAATACATTACCCCAGCATGTACCAACTCTCTGATCTGTGAATTTCCTGAATTGAATATTATTGATTCAATTCATAGCCTCAGTTGCAATAACATCAAAGATTTTCAGAATCTATTATCTCCATGATATATTGTCCTTAATATTCATTATAATAAATATCTCTAAACATTCTATATGTATAAAACAACTGTCACTGTCTCTGTCCTCTCATTGTTCATCGATTTGCTGGAGCAGGCCCAGTAATGTCTCCACTGTGACAATTGTTACTGTGTTTGGCATATCGAATACACCACTGGGAGCTTGCCAGGCTTTACAGTGCAGGCAAGATACTCTCGGTAGCTTCCGGGCTCTCCGAAAGGGGCGGAGGAATCGAACTTGGGTTGGCCATGTTGGCTGTTTGTAAGGCAAACATCCTACCAGCTGTGCTATCGCTCCAGCCCAATGTAAAACTACATTAACTATTATTTAGTTCTTTAAAAAATATTTTTGAGGTTTCAGTTCAACAAAAAAAAATTGACTTATCTGTAGCTTTGGGTACTATTAAAAAGAAATAAGGTCAGAGATAAAGTACAAAAGATATGGTGTCTGCCATGCACACGGCCAACCCAGGTCCCATCCCAGCATTCAGTACAATCCCCCACACTCTTGCCTATATAATAATTCAGGAGTAAGCCCTGAGTACTGCTAGGTGTAGCCCCAAATTAACAGATGATAAAATCTGGCTCTTACCTTCCTGACTCAATAAAATCAAGGTAAACTTAGCTTCAACTACACGTTTCACTATTGTCATATTTAAACTATAACCCCCAAAATGCAGACAAACACTCTGATCTTCACACACTGATATCTGGGGGGTGGGGGGGATGCATCCTTGCTGTATGAGGGCAATTTCTGAATGCTTTGACTTGTCATATGTTTTGCAAAGGAAATCTTAGTAAACAGAATGTTTCATTTAGTACATTTGCTTATTCAGTTACAAAAGAAAGTGAAGCTGGAAAATAGAAAACAATGATATAACAAAAGAGCCCTGAGAATTAGGGGCAAATTTCAAAACTCTGTTGAATATATAGAAGCTAGAAAAATCAAAATGGGGTGACACCCCATTATGAACTTTTACTTAAAAGGGAATTATGGAAGTGATGGATAGTTCAAATACACAATCCCAAAGTTTTAAATTAATTAAACTATATATTGGACTATCTTTGTCCTGAAATCTCTGTCCATTCACTTAGCAACCTCCTTGTATCTAGGTACTAGTAATAATGAAACAGAATATGATTACTGCTGGAGCGATAGCACAGCGGGTAGGGCGTTCGCCTTACACGCGGCCAACATGGCCGACCCGAGTTCGATTCCTCCACCCCTCTCGGAGAGCCTGGCAAGCTACCGAGAGTATTCGATATGCCAGACACAGTAACAACAAAGTCTCCAATGGAGACGTTACTGGGCCCGCTCGAGCAAATCGACGATCAACGGGAGGGCCTTTACCTTTACCTTTACCTTTTAGTAATCTATTCTAGCTTTATGCTCACAACCTTTCTCGTACTTCATTCTTGCTTCAAAACATAATTTCTTGCTAATAGAGTGACTGTATCTAATAATTTATAGGCCTATCTCTTTGTTTTATGACTGCTGGTTGGTATTGTGATGTACTCTATAAAGTTTTGTAAGCAATTAATTATTTTAAAGCACCATTCTTCAATGGCTATTTTCTTAAATGTAGCAGGTGATATTAAACTTGAATTCATTCCCTTTAAAGAAATTATTTCACTGCAACAATGTAAAGTAAAATTTTAATAAAATGATAACTATCACTATTACTATCACTATCCTCCCGTTCATCAATTTGCTTGAGGGGGCCCAGTAACATTGTGAAACTTGTTACTGTGTTTGGCATATTGAATACGTCACAGGGAGCTCTCCCAGGCTTTGCCTTGCAGGCGAGATACTCTCGGTAGCTTGCCAGGCTCTCCGAGAGAGGTGGAGGAATTGTACTCGGGTCGGCCATGTTGCCTGCGTGTAAAGCAAACACCCTACCCACTGTGCTATTGCTCCAGTATATTGATAACAAAATACTTTAAATATAGGTAAATTCATTAAAGGATTGATAAAATTTTAAGAAAAGGCATGAGACAAAATAAAACATAAAATTATACAATAAAAACCAAAAAATAGTTGATTCCACAATCCTTAAATCTGTAAATAGGTCTGAATAGATAGTACAGGCGCTAAAGCACCTGCTCTGTGTCTATCCCCAATGCCTCATATGGTTCGCTGAGCACTGACTGATAGGAGTGATTACTAAGCACAGAATCAGGAGTAATGACCACCAGGTATGGCCCATATTCTACTTCTGACTCCCACCAAATTGTAAAAATTGTATTTTTTCTTTGGTCACATATATATGTATATATATATATATATAATTGTGAGTATGGATAAAATTTGATATACGCCAATTTTTGATAAGTTTTTGTGTTTCCCTAGCCTAATTATATGTATTAGTATACATTAGACTGAGAGGAAATGGTTGAAAAGAGAAAAAATATACCATTTCCAATTCTAATCATATTTTTCAAAAGACATAATAAAAAGATAATCATCAGTAAAGTTTTTTTTAATGATGATCATTTAGCTCTAGAAAAAGAAGATAAAATAATAGGTTTTAAGTACCTGATTTATTAAGAGATAATAGTTATACTTCCCATTGATCTCACTATTATCTAAAAAACAACAATCTTGAAGAGGAAACAGGAAAATTCCAGGAAAGATGCAACTAATTACTAAGTAATGCAATGGAAGATTTGTCTCTCTAGAATTTCACTGTGGGATCTCTGCCCGTTGATCCAGAGTTGATTAGGTACTAGATTTAAAATAAAGAATTCTCGGGTTGAGGTTTGGGGAGGGGAAGGAAGTCAATTTGTACTGTAAGTAGGTTGCAGTAAAAATTGGCCTATATACAAATTTCAGACAAATGCAGTATAAATTGGATTTTATAAATATCTGTATTTACACATAACTAATAAATTCCTTTTTCATTGTTCATAGGGTTATCTAGCCAGTTATATTAGGTATAAGCACATTGTAAAAATAGAATAAATTGTACCAATTGCCAAGCTACTCCCAGTTCTGATCAGGTCTTCCTTGGACCAATGATCACAGACTAGAAAGATCTATCATCAAGAAACTGCTCAAAGTAGCAACAGAGCATGGTGAAGGGATTTCAGAATTTCGGTGGTAGAAATGGTTTGAAAATATAACTTTTGAAGAAATACAAAAAAAGCATACCTGATACATACATCATATTATAAAACAATATTATGTCAACAATACAATAAGAAAGATTTAAGTGAATTTCCCTAATTGCCAAAGTAATAGAACATAAAGTTCTCTGAATATATATACTTAACAGATTGTAATAAAATCTCTAACCTTTGAACATTTTTTCAGGTTTAATGTTCTTTTCATTAATACTGCAAGTGACATTTATTATAATATTTTATCAAAAATAGCTCTATTAAATAAATTTAACCCACATTATATATTAAAATATTTTGAAGTTTCAAGATAAGATATAGGTTTAAGTTCTGTGTCAAGGGTAAAGATCTTCCAAAAGAGTAAAGATCTTCCTTATAACCTCTTATTTTTTCTCTTTCAATATTAGCATTTGTTATGCTACTTTGTTTACATTATATGCTGCCAATTATCTTATAATAAATACCACAACCTTTATTAAGAACCTTAATGCTTGACCTAAATTTAATTATAAAGTTCCCATGGGACAGTAAATCTATCAACAATCAAAGCTTACATGTAAGGAATAAGGGCCAGGATACTAAGAACGTTAGTTTAAAAGTGGATGAAACCTCTTAAAAATAAGCATACTATTGCTTTGTAAGGTTCGCAATTTTTTTCCCCTTGTCTTGCATTTCTCCAGTTGACAAATGGGATGCGTCCACTGAGAATCTGAAAGCAGTATTAACTCATATCAGAAATGAGAAACAGGATTTGGTTGAATTTACCTGTTCCTGTTGCTGGAAATCCAATCTGAAATAAGTGTTGAGGCCTGTTGGTGACAGTGCTTATTGCCGAAACTGCATGCCAACATTATAACTTCCCTGCGAAGTTCTCTAGATATCACAAGGCAAGAGAAAATTAAAACACAGTGTTAGATCTGGATAGAAAGTATAATTCCTTATATAAATAGTAGGTAAATTATTAACACAAAAATCATTTTTAGATTTAGAAAATTCTCTTTTTTGAATAAGAGCCAATTAGGGGCAGAGTAAAAGTTAAGTAGACTAAAAGTGTTCTCTGGAAATGGTTCTACAGTGAAAGGAATGGATTCAGATCTCCAATTTACCAATAAAAGAAGTTCTTAAAATATGCCAAGGAAATGCCTTTGTTCTCAGTACCAGGCAGTGGAAACTGTGCTACCCAGCAGCAGTCCCCCTGGAAAGCGAAATGAAAGATGCAGAATGAAAGAAAGATGTTTTCATGCCGCTGAAGTCACAATGGTAGTAGGGCCTGTTATTGTACTGGGAGAAAAGCTCTGGGAGAAAAGAAGCAAATAAGAAAATAGAACAGTACTCATGTTGGTAGGATGCTTGAACAAGAGATCCATTAAAATTGTTTCTTGGCCATCCAAGCTTGATATATGTTGTTGCAACTTGCTTTAAAATGTATTCCTAAATGGGGGGCAGGGGAAATAAAAATAAATATCAGTGTGAAGCCTCTTCATGCAGACAATCAAAATTATATGATAATTTTTTTCCCTAAATGTATCTTATCTGAAATATCAGACAGGTTTTGAACCTGTTAATGCTCTGCTATAACTGTTTCAACTTTGTGCTTCCAATATAGAAAATAAAACTAAATTACATTTGCAGGGATGAAATTCGACTTTACATCCCATAGAACAATTAAGAAATTTGCAATATTAGTGTTCTCGATGACAATATTTGTAGCAAAACAGAGCACTGAAGAATATTGCTCTGATACCCCTGCATACATATGCATGCAAATGTATGTAGATATGATTTATGGAAATGAGCACCTGATAATATTTATATGTTTTTTGTCAACTGAACAAATTTAATGCAAAATTGTTAAATAGGCCCAGTCAATAGACTAGCATTGTTGAAACTAACGTACACAAAACACTCTTCAGCATAATGATATAGTATTTAAAAGTCAGCAATCCATTCAGTTAATGATATATTTAAATATCAGTGGTAAAATAAATTGGGCTCTCTTTATTTAATGCGGTCCTTGAATTTTGTCAAGGAATGAAAGCACTGAAATTACAGTAAAAGCAACTCTTAACTTTTACTGAGATATCTGACATGATATACTTTTCTGAAGTACAAATATATGCAAAATGTATTTTACTTTTATAGAAGTTTAACACTGCAGTGTCTCTGTGTTAAGGAAAGAGACAGGTAAGTCTTAGCAGCTAAAAAGTATACCATAACTATAATGGCATACTTATCTACCTGTATGTTAAAAACTCAGACAAAAGAAAAATAAGGAAGAGTCAAGCCACAATTATTTTCACTAAAAGAAAAAACATCTTAAAAGAGAGGTTCTTTAATGTTGGTTCTGTATAGGAAAAGCTAAAATAACTCTGATGTCCATCAGACAATTTAAATGATTTAATAAACATTTCATGCCATATCAACCTAGTGCTAAATAATTTCAAATGTAGATTTTAATTAGAAGAACTAATGAATCATAATAGAAAGCTTTCATAAAACATAGTAAAGGACTTAAGATAAAGGAAAATCAACAGTGCTTAACGGTGATAAAGACACAAAGTATTTTTTTATATGCAGAACTGCACTGTAGGTAAGAAAGAAAACAAAAACTTGGAAACTATAATCCTAATCTTACTCAAAGAAAATTAAATTATTTTCAGTGATGTCAGGAGGGCAATTTTGGATTAACAGGCTTCAGATTTAGGTAATGCAATTAAATAACAGTTTGGAACATTTGTCATATCTTTTTATAATTGTTTGGATTATGTTTGCTCTCCTATATTCCCTGGGACCCAATTATGAATGGGCTATTTTTGCCTCAGTGTTGATCTTACCCTTGTTAATTAGGAAAGTGAATTGAATTCACTATGCCCTATTGGATAAAAATGAATAGCTAAGAATCTTTACTGAACAGTCTATATTCCATAAAGATCTTAGAATCTTCTACCCAGGTTAAATCCTTTGCAGACACAGGGCCCTTTAACTATTAAAGAGTAAATTTGAACTTTTAGGATTTGCCATGTATATTTGTTCTTAAATACTGAAGCATTTAAGCTTAATTGACATTTTTAGACCAGAATTAAAAAAGTAGCCAGAATTAAATTTCTTCTTCAAGTCATTGTCACCAGTGTTGTGCAGAAAATCAGGACAAAAAGGATAACACAAATTAGAAGAGAAAACTAGTATAACTTAGAATCAGTTGAATACAATATACAATGAGAAAATAGTTTATCTTCTAAAAATAAGAAAGAAGCAGAGAAGAAAAAATATAGCTTTTTACATTGAAGACATTGTATTTCTCCATGCGGTCCAGTAATTTATCTAGAGGATAAAGGGCTCTGCTGGCAGCATGCCAAGGAAGAAAATCCTTCTCCTCAGACAGGTATTTGATAATCTCCAGAGGAATATTCTGAGGCAAATAGCCAGCTCTGCATAGTCAGAAAATTTCATATTAATTATAAGCAGAAAAGATACATGATGATGCAAAAACAAAGATTGTACTTATATACATAAAATACAGTAAGAAAAGTCACAATGTAAAGAAGCTACACCTCGTGTTATAAAACTGCTCACTTTTTACACATAGTCCTATTTAAGAATAGGATTAAAAAGCAATATATATTAAATATATATATTAAAAAGCAATGCCCTTTAATATATACAGAATAGATGTCAAATTTACATGAACTCAAAAACAGTAGAATGCACATTTCTTTAAAAAGAAAAAAATTGTTGAAATTGAATAAAATTAACTCTATTTTCCTTCACAAAACAAGTTTCTTCAGAGGTCACAAGCAATTGAAAGAGTTAAATACTTAAATGTGATTTCAGTTGCTCAATGATTCTCTTTACTTTTTATGTAGTTCTGTGCAATAATACTGAATAAACATTGTCTACAAATAGATCAGGAGATTAGTTTTGGCCACACCTGTTTTACTACACATATGCATTGTTCAAACTTGCCTGTTTTAACATTTAAAGCAAGCTTTCTATAACACTTCTTAAATCCAATTTTTTTAATAAAGTAAAAATCAAAAAATGTTAAAAATAACAGGTTCTTATTATTTTACTTAAAAATAGATGAAGTTCTTTGGACAGTGCCAAATTACTTGATGACATGAAAATGTATCTTTTAAATGGTATCTGAGTCGGTCAGAGAGTTAGTATTAGTAAAGCAGGTAGGAGGCTTGTCATGCATGAAGCTGACCCAGGTTCAATTCCAGGCATCCTATATGGTCCCCTGCACCTTGCCAGGAATGAACTCTGAACACAGAGCCAGTAGTAAACCCTGAGGTCCACCAAGTGTGGCCTCAAAACAAACGAATTGGTATCTGTATACATATTTTCCGGAATTAAACAGGTTTTATCCAAAAACAAAAGGTCAAGAAAATCGTATATCTCTACCCTCCACTAGGCTGTACATAAAATGATTGCAAAATAAAGGCATTATAACTTAAAAATTTATATTTATTTAAGGTATGTGGTAAGCATATGTGGTGCTGGAGATCAAACACTACAAAGAGAGAGCCCTACCTGCTGTATTATGACTCTGGCCCCAAAGATAAAAATTTAGCTTCTCGAAGTAGGTTCCCCATAGTATTTCATAAGGCGGTGTTAAAATAAGATAAAAGGAGTTATAGTGCTTGATAGATGTTAGACATTTAGTGGGAACTCTGATATATTATATACAGATGAAACTATCATACTTTACATCAAAAACATAAAATCTCATAAAACAATGTCACTTTAATATTTTTTTTAACCTGCAAGCCCTGAGTAGCTGCATTAAGTGACACTGCAAACTTGTCTAAAATATTTTGACAATGATAATCAACTGAGTGCAGGGAACAGGTAGATGTGAAAAGAACCAAACAACGGTCGTCACATTTAGTTACAGTCCTCACCGCTGTTTTGTTTAGCATTGCCAAATTTGATGGATCTTTTCATTTGAGTTTGCTAGATACTAGACAGGGAGGGAATGAAACCTATTAAATATTTGTTCTTGCTCAATGTAATTTCAAAAAATTTAAAATGAACATTAACTGACGTCTGTGATCATAATATTTAGAATAAAATCAATTCTAAAGAGTTTGTTTCTGTTTTCTTTGAATTAAAGCAAAAGAATGAATGTTATTGTAATATCTTGCCTCTCTCATGGTATAAGATTGATCACAGTGGATTATGAAAGTTAACACAGCATATAGGGCATTTGCCTTATGCAATTCTCACTTGAACTTGATCTCTGGCATCGTATGTGGTACCCTGAGCATTGTGAGGAGTGATTTCTGTGCACAGAGCTAGGAGCAGACCCTAGGTATATACCACCCCCAAAATACTGACCAAAATAAATGATTATGTAATAGGGATTAGTGAGGAAACCCCCAAATTTCTACTCCAAAATTCTACATAATTTCAAAAGTATATTTATATTTATATAAAGCATTGATTAGAGTATTTCTAGACTTTTATTTATTTTTAAGACTAATATACATGCATATGTATTATATATACATATGCTTATATGTATCTAATATATATTTATGCAAATAGAAACAGCAGAGAATTAGACTCACAAGATTTTAAAAAGAAACTTTATCATTTGGCAAGGACAGTTTTGTTTTGTTTTTAAATTTTTAGTTTTGTTTTTAAGGGTCTGTCTCCTAATTAAAGCTACATAAATGTTTTTGTTTTTCCCTTATAAGTTTTCCAACATTTCAAATCTTGTCATTTATTGTCCCTGAATTTGTATTTTTAAATGCTATATAGCATGAAGATAAAAATGCGTGTGTGTCCATGTGTGTTTGGCCACACCCAGTAGTGCTCAGGGCTTACTGAAGTCTCTGTGCTCAGTGATCATCCCATCACCTCAGGAAATCATCTGTGGTGCTGGAGATCAAACTCTTCAAGGCAAGTACCCGACCTGCTATATTATGAATCTGGCCCCAAAGATAATAAATTTAACTTCTAGAACTATGTAACATGCATGTCATAAAGTATATAATAGAAGTTAAAAATAGTTATCTAGAATCCGACTTAAGAAAAAAAGTTAAAACTTTATTAAATGACTAATAATGCGCTTGCAAATTTGGAAAATTTTAAAATTCGAGACTCAAAAACCTGTATTACACATACTCGCCTCTTAGCAGTTGAAACTTAATGTGTTTTACTTCATTTCTTAAAAAGGGATAGACATTCTCAATGACATGTTTAGAGGGTAAATAGGAAAGTTTCCAACATTATAGAAAACCAACTTGGAATTTAGGAGGAGGATCGATCTGAGGAAGACTTTGAGGAAGACTCTAGAATACTTAATGATACTTGTATAACTAGAAAATAATTTTTTAAATTTGTATTATTAAATAAGAGGGAGAGGGTTGAACTATAAGGGGTGTGTGTGTGTGTGTGTGTGTGTGTGTGTGTGTGTGTCTTTTGCCAGTGATTAAATGCAGAGTCTTAGACATGTAAGGCAAGGGCTCTACTACTAACCACATCTCTGACCCAGAGACTCCTTTATTTCCAAACCCATTTTAAGTCTAAAATATTTAATTATAACATAACCAGCTGAAAAAATAATTACAATAATATGGGTGTGATTAATTTGCTAAAAAATCGTAAACACATTGTATTATTTTATATTCCTCATTATAAATTATTCATTATGTGTAATTCTAAGAGGCAGGAATTAGGACACAGACATGCTACAAAGAAAACAAAATCAAAGAAAGTTTAAACAAAAATCTTAATGACAAGGCAGGTAAAGGAACGCTTCTTAAAGAAAAGGAGTAAATTCTGTATTGAGTCCTAAGGAATTCATCATTAACTGATCACTAACAAACATGCTCTCCTGAACAGCCAAGGACAGAATATAATATTCATATCCTTGTTATTGCTATGTGACAAAGAACTAGCCAACAAAATATAAATGATTCCTCCTGTCATGGTTAGCTCATAGACATCTCCTAATAGTTCTTAATGTTCCCCTCCATGCCCTGACATGATTCTTTCAGAATGACATTGAAAATCTTTCATTAAATACAGCAGAGAAACCCATCCAGGTCTGTACTTGAGTGCCAGTTTTCAAACCCAGCTTTATTACATGAGTAGGAATTATATTTCTACTGTGTTTGATCCAAATACATGTTTGTATCTATTTTTAAAGCAGTTAACCTTCTTAAATGCAGCCCTCAAATAGAATAAGAAACATTACACTCAAATTGCCCTCATTTTGTGTTGTTACAAACACATGTAAGTAATTACCTACTACATAATTCAATATACTTGCACTTAGCCTACTTCATCAAAATATGTAGCTACACTCAATTGGACAAGAGGACGATCAGCTTCATTACAAAATTAAGGCTTGTAAGAGATAATGCTGGTGAATATGTTACCTAGTTTAGATATGTGTTTGTATAATTGGCTGGTAATGATATCTGTGATTACTACTACTGATAATGCAATCAATATAGAGAATGTGTGTGTAATCCAGTGAATGGAATGCTACATTAGCTCAAAGTAATCAACGCAGTAGGGAGCACACTTAGGGTCCTGATGCTGAAATGCAGTTTCCCTAAATTTGCATCATCACCAGAAAATGCTAGTAGCAAAATAGTAGCAAATTTAGCATAATTAATATAATGTAACTGCTTTACTAATATTTTAGAGAGAGATAGAAGTGATATAAATCCTCTTTAACTAGAAAGGCTTTGCTTAGAGAAGTTATTTAAGAATCAAAGAATGGCAAAGGGGAAATAAGGAAAGTGAGGGGAATTAAGGAAATACGAAAAAGATTGCTTATATGAAGCTATACAGTTGTTCCAGCGCTCTCGCTCTCTCTCTCTCTCCTTCTTTCTCTCTCTCTCCCCATCCTCTCTCTCTCTCTCTCTCTCTCTCTCTCACACACACACACACACACACACACAGGAGTTTTACTCCTCCTCTGAATTACAAGATTTTGTAGTAAAATAATTATTTAGGTGTATAGGGCAATATCTTTTATAAAAAGGTATTAAAACTATATTTGCTGATGCTGAAATGCACTGATTTTTAGCTGGCTTTTTTTTATCAAAGATACAAAACTATTTAAAAAAATTATACACAATTCCTGTGAAAGTTAACTTGCTGATATAGGTGGCTAATCAACAAATTAATTTACTGTGAGCTTTTTGTGAAATTAATTGGTTTCTAGATGCTTAAAATTTGGGAAAAAATAAAATGCACAACCCTCATATTCTTCAGCGCATCAGACTCTAGTCTTCATTAATTGAATATTCATTAAAAAATAACCCAGTACATATTTCACAATATATGCAGAAGACATGATATTATTGTCCCTTAGGGCATAGATTTTTAAAGCAATTTCTAGAATGCTTAATTAAAAAGTGTACTGAGTTTTTGTATTATTCTTTATTATTCATGATTAGCAGAC